CACAAATAATCAGCAGTCGGAGGCTTTGAAATCAGCTCGTCAAAAATTCCAGTCAGTGGAATCTGAGGCATCGAAGAGCTCAGAGTTATTAAAAGGGATGCTGGAGGGATATTACTGAAAAGTCGCTGAGTCGGCTAACGAGCAGATATCCCAGTGTTGCGTGTAGCGCCCTCCCTCTTAGGGGATCAGCTACTACGATGCCGCTGGGGTCACTCAAACCCCCAGAACTGAACCTCTACTTCGATCAATCCTCTTTGGTAAGCGCTAACAATTTCTGAAGTTGACAAAATACACCTCAACCATCTTCGTTGATGAAATAGCGATCAACCTCTATGTGGAACTAAAATAAATTTGAATAAATTCATCACTAATGTAACGTTGACATTATCCAGAATACGAAAAAATGTCGAGTTTCGCGAAAAATCAGTTGTTGAAATACGGCTGGACAGAAGGTAATAAATCCTGCACCGATGCGTACGCATGAAAAAAATCTGTATTATTAGGTTATGTTTATAAATTTATTATTTAAAGATACATGAATAGCAATTGGAGAAAAACTTGTAAATGTTATAAAATAAAATTTCATTTCAGGCAAAGGTCTTGGTAAAAATGAAAACGGTATAGTTGATGCTCTGAAACCAAAATTGAAATTTGACAGAATCGGAATGGGCCATGATGGAGCTGAGTACAATTGGTGGGAACATATTTACAACGAAGCATCAAACAATTTAGAAGTTAAATCTGATTCTACAAACATAAATTTAACTATTAAAGAAGAAGATGCAGTGAGAATAGCCACGTGTAAATCCGAACTCACGTCAAGAACAACAAAAAATAATAATCTAGAATTTGGAAATTTCATCAAGACATCAATTCTACAAGATGGAAAAAACACTGAAGAAGATGTATTGGCGAGGAATAATTTCCAAACAACAACGAAAAGTGAAATGATTTCATTTTTGACAGATGAAGAGATATTTAAGGCCTGTGGAGGGCGAACTGCTCACAAAGGTGCAAGGCACGGTCTAAAATTATCTGGAAAACTTGCAAGGATTGAGAGACAAGAACAAGATATACTTGCCTCCCAAAGTCAACCGTCGACTTCTTCTAATTGGGTAACCGTTGAAATAAAACGTAAGAAGAAGCGGAAACATGAGAAAATGGATTTAGAAGTTGTAGATAATGAGATCTTGGCTATCAGATTTGACTCTGAAAAATGTCCAAAAGATCTGAGTGAAAATTCCTCACTTTCTCCAAAATTGAAATCCAAAAAATCCCGACTGAAGGAGAAGAGAAAACTCGAAGATTTAACGCATAAAATGTTAACCTCTCTAGATTTATCTGAAGATTCAGGAGCTCCTGAAGAAAAAAAAAGAAGGAAGAAGCATAAAAAATCTGCAAAAGAAGATGAACAGTCTAATCATAATCATAAAATAAATGAAACAGCAGACAATGTTCCACGACCTTTAATTGAGAATTTTGAGGCAGTGGTCGAAGATCCTGCATGTAATGACGATGGATTCGTCTCCGGGGATGATTTGACAGAGCCTCAAGTAAGAACTTGTAAAGATGCTAAGATACTCAATCAAAAAATCCAGAAGAAAAAGAGAAAAAAGTTGCAACGGCTAGAGATGAAGAAATTAGAAAAGTTGTCCGAAACATTGAAGACCCTGGACTTAACTACCAATGCTGAGACGAACACTTCAGGAAAAGTCAGGAAAGAGAAAAAAAATAAACATTGAATTTAAACCGGAAATTCTTTTGAGTTTAAGAAGTGCTCAACTAACAAAAAGTTCAACGATTTTTACACATATACATTTCGTTCTTTTGGAGATGTACATAATTTGAAAAAATTGTAATAAATTTTAGAATTCATCTTCAACTTTCGTTTTAGCTTTTCTTATCCGTGTTAATGGTGTGCCCAAATTATTGTGTATTGATGAAATAAGACTGGGCTTTGCATAATTTAACAATCGTAATTAAATTACGTATTATTGGCACTTTAGAATTGTAACTTCTAACTGAAAACAATAGTAAGTTCAGCACAATATTAAAATTGTAATGAACAGATTTGTTAGTATTGAACACGCAAATGGTTACATTAGCTATTAAAAAATGTTAACTATTCATTACTCTGTCATGTATATGGATGTAGATTTTAACATCAGGAGTGAAAGATTGCTGTGTCTCGCACATTACCCGAAGAATAGGCAGTCATTTAATCACATGTGCATGAGAACTTAAAGTTTCAATTAAGTTGAGACTTAAAGTTTCAATTAAGTTGAGACTTAAAGTTTCAATTAAGTTGAGACTTAAAGTTTCAATTAAGTTGA